ACTCGAGCGTTGTCAAACTTCTGTCCAGCCAACGATCGTCGTCTTCTTAGACATACGAGCCGCGTTTGACTCAGTCGACAGAGCTGCTCTCTGGAATTGTTTACTGAGAAGAGGAGTGCTCGATGAGTATGTCACCTTATTTCAAGCCATCTACTCTCAAACCTCGGGCCGAGTGCGGGTATACGGCGGACTTCCGCCCCCCTTTGGTATCACCAGTGGTGTAAGACAGGGTTACCCAGCATCCCCATTCTTGTTCACTTTCGCTATAGACGAAATCTTAGAGAGTGATCTGGAGAACTGTGAACCCAGCGACGTCGATCTGCTTCCGGAGGACCGACTTTGGGATTTGGAGTATTAAAACGACATCGCGGTAATCTGCGCTTCTTCACAGGCCGCCCAAAATGTCCTTTGTATGTTGGAGATGTCTGTCTCCCAGTTTGGGATGACCTTCGCACCATCGAAATGCAACCTTTTCCTGCATGACTGGCTAGGCGCTGCTTCTTACCTTACTCTTCTAGGCCATTCATTGCAAGTGATGGACAAGTTCGTTTACCTCGGAAGCTGCCTCAGCCGTAATGGTTTAATGGATCAGGTCTCTGTGCGTCTCCAAAGCTCGGGTTGCTTTTGCCAATCTCCGCCATCTCTTTCGTCGAGGTGATCTGAGTCTAGCTCTGAAGGGCCGAGTTTACAATTCCACCGTGAGAGCGGTTCTCCTCTATGGCTACGAGACTTGGCCTGTTCGCGCAAAGGATGTTGAGAGGCTGTCTGTTTTTGATCACCGCTGCTTTCGGAGCAGTGCTGGTGTACGATGGCAACATCACACCAGCAATGAAGATATTCGTGGGAGGATTTTCAGATCAGAGAGATTTTGCCGACCACTGAGCAGTATAATTTCTCTGCGCAGACTTCAGTGGTTTGAGCACGTTCTCCGCATGTCTACTCATCGCTTACCTCGCCGAGCCCTCTTCGCACACGCAGAACTCTGCTGGAAGCGAAAGCAAGGTGGCCATCGTATGACTTGGTCCAGGAGCATGAAGGAGCTAACATCAAAGTTAGCTGTGATGTGGCGCTCTCGGCTCCCTGGCTGGAGTGTGAAGGATCCGGAACACACATGGCTGGAAACGTTCTCGGATATGGAAAGCAATCATGCACAATGGCTGACTTGTCGTGACTCACTATTCCCATGCACATCGGTTTTTCCCTCTATCTTCGTATGCTTATTGTATTTTCCATATGTTGTGGCACTGTGCCAATTGTACTATTGACTATGTTAAATATATACGTTGAATATATTTATCAACCCAGTGCAGGCTCCCGTAATGATAACTATGAGCGGTTGCTCTACCTGTGTAAAGATACTCGTATGTTTCTCGCAAACACTAACTCCCGACACAACACCCACCACCCATGAACGGGAATCCGTCACATCGTGACCACTTACCGTTGGAGATGTTGTGTCCAAAACTGTCTCTCGATTTGGAGCACAAACATGCACTCCGACTACGCACTCCTATGTGCTAACCTGTGAGTGGGTTCTGGTGGACATCCGCAACGACGCTGTGAATGAATAGCTGTTTGTTAACTGGCGAACTCAGACGTTTTGGATCCGTATCAAAGTACGCTGGCATCCGGGATGAACACCGTTGAAGGTCAACAGTCGCATATTTGCCCGACATTACTATCAGCAAACATGTCTTAATATGGCAATTTAAACTGCCGATCTGGACCATTCTCTGGAATTCCTCGACGCTCGCTGACGAGTCCCAGCTGGAAGCGAAAACAACGAGACTCGTAGACCTTTTGGGGCGAGACTGAGTGCTTGCTTGAAGAGTGGCTGCGAGGTCAGGTGGTCTCACCCCGCATCGGAGATGGTAACAGCCGTTGGCCTTAGCAACCATCGGAAGTTATTTCGTCTGATACGGGAAACGAGCAGCAGGAGACTCGATGTCAGCAAGACCATACGTGACGACAGTGGGCAGCTAATCCACAACTTGCCAAAACGCTCGGGACGCTTAGACGGATCTTTTGAAAAGTAATCTAATCAGCCAGCGTTATCCTCTTTTTGGGCACTGATCGCCATTCTCTATGAGCCAACCTTATGGATCTGCCATCATGCACAGAAGTCAAAGATGAGATCAGACCACTAAAATTAAATAAGGCCACCGGAGCAGACAGACTTATTCCAGCTCTCCTCAAATTAAGGGAACCAGCTTTTGTGGATGATTTGCACAGCCTGTTACTGCAGCTATGTGAGCAGGTGGCTGTCTCGACAGACTGGAGCCGATCCGTAATAATTGCAATTTTCAAGGGAGGCTCACGTCTTAAATGCAGCAATCATAGAGGAATCAGTCTGACCTCAGTTGCTTTTAACTCGTTTGCTTCTGTAAAGCCATCAGCAGTACGCTACTACTCGATAACTACGCTTCGCTGTCGTGCAGCCAACACCAGTCAGGCGTGGTTTAAGGATACGGTGAGGGCCGCCTGATTTCCTACCTAACTTGCCTCCGTCGTCCGTCATAGACTGAGTGGCACTCGTGAAAGCTAGCTTCACGAGCATCAAGCCGGTTCTCGTCAGAATCAAAGCTTTCTTGGCCACATCTTCACATTACGTCAGTTGTTGGAACACCGTCAAATCTCTTGACGACCCACCGTAGTTGCGTTCTTCGATATCAAAGTTGCTTCCGATTAAGTTGATCGACGTACCCTTTGAGACTGTGCTTGGGAAGGGCGTGTCTGAGAAACGTCAAAAGGTCGCTATATGCGTATAGTTCTGGATTATGGAGAACTGTCCCCGCTCTGCAGTGTTTTTAGCTGTGGGAGACAAGGTTGTTCTCTCTCACCATTTCTTGTAACTTCGCTTTCGACGAAGTCACGGCGACTATATTCATTGGGCACTACTTAGAGTGTGTTGAGCTGCTCCCAGGTAAGCGACTTCTTGACTTAAAGTGTGCCGACGACATTGACCTTATCTGTGACAACTTTCAAACCTGCCAAGCAGCACTCGACGGATTAGCACTGGCTGTCAGTCGTTTCGCGCTATTTTGCACTCTTAGAACGCAAAGTCCTCCAAGATTGGCATGGACTCACTGCTTCGTTGACCCTTGGGGATGATCAGGTAGACATCATCCAGACATTCAAATAATTTGTCAGCTATATTAGCTTCGGTGAATAGAAGATGAGAGCGAAAACCGTATAGCGACATTTCGAAACACCTCTCCGGCACCTGTGGCGTCGGCGCGATCTCAATCTCACCCCGAAGAGTAGAGTTTACAGTGCAGCCGTGTGCCCAACCCTACTGTACGGCTCGAAACCTGGCCTACCGGATCGACAGACTTAAAGTGTCTTGTTACGTTCGACCACCGATTTCTTCGCAGTTTTGTTCACATCTGGTTGGAACACCGTGTGAGCGATGAGCGTATTCGGGGTCACTTATTTGGTGCATAAGGATCGAGTGAACCACTCAGCACCGTTATATCACGCACCGGGCTCCGATGGGTAAACCACGTGTTGCGCATGCCAGCACACCGACTACTGCGAGGTGCGTTGTTTGTGTGACGGTGTGGGTGGAAGAAGAGAGGACGCCACAAGATGACTTGGTGAAGAGGAATGAACTCCCTCCTTTCGAACTTGGCATCGGTTTGACGCGTCCCGGCTGCCAAGCTGGGGTCTGAAGAAGGAGAAATACGTTTGATTAGATTCACTTGTTGACATGGTGAAGATCCGACCTCAGTGGTATCTGTGTCGTGTTCTTTTTGTCCCTCTCCTTCCCGCCTATCTTTCCACTAGAAGCGCGATTTCACATCGGACGAGTAATGTGGTACCTAGCACTATATTACTTTTTGTTTTTCTATTGTATTCTGTAATGTTTTGTATCACGTTTTCTCCCATATCCTGTTTTTTGTATTGCGGTACGTTAGCTGAAGTGTGTTTCTCACCTTCAGATAACGCTTAACGTGTGTGTATGTAACAGACGATGTCAAGATTAATTTGTTTGAAGCGAGCTTCGGGCGATGAAAGTGTTCCCTAGAGTGTAATCATGAGGCGATGTATCTGAATTGTCCCCACCTCTAGCTAACGTGTATAATGAATGAATGAGTTGAGAGTCTGATAGTGAGGTTTGACCTCAACTGTGCGAACTCAGTATCTCTTTCTTGGTGGACGACGCGTTCCAAACTGACTGCTTGACGCGAATCCTCGTGAAGATCAATGCGAGACATAGCGTCGGCTACAGCATTGTGAGCTGCATCGATGTGTCAAATGTCGATGGTAATGAGGGTTTTGGGGGAGTAAAAGAAATGGGTGGAAAGGAAAGAAGGGATCGCCAGCGGTAGTTGTTGTGTTCGCTTAGGGTCCTCAATCAGAGCCTTTGGCTCAATAGCCTGTCCGCAAGGCAACGGGGAGGTGACAGCGAATCGGGTTTAGTGAAGTTGACGCCATCCCATTACAAACTCCCAACCTGGAAAACCAGGAGATGGACTTGGTCTGACTTCTAACCATTAACCAATTTCTATCAATGGGCCCGGGGAGACCACCCAGTATAGCTCAGCGAATCGAGGAGGTACACAAACCGTCGCACCACGTTAAGGTCCAGTCTGTTTGCGATGGAAGATATCAGCGGTACGCTGGTATGCAATACCGACGTTTCGCTGCTGCGCAACCACCAACAGTCGCACGTGGGCTAAAGATACTGCGTGGGTCGCCCGGTCCCTACGCAGACTCGACCAAGCGCTCTCGGATTACAAGACAGGCTTGGGATCCTTTAGAGTACGGGCCGGGCACTATCTGATTATGTCGGATTGGGATTCTGTATCTAGCCGGTGCTAGGCGGATGGACGCTTTCTCACAGTGATGAAGTTTAGTTTTCAGCTTAATTATGTAATTTCGTAGTTACTGCTTTCAGTACTCCAGTGCCCAGGTCGGACGTCTTTCATCTCAGAGTGCACGTTTGTACGTCGTTTAATTTTCTCTTATCTTTATTTCAGGTCTTTTGAAACCACGTGATGTCTCAAATCATCTCTCTTCACTTATCTATGCTTTTGGAATTGCTCGGAAGGCCCGGCACTATACGTCTACTTGTGACCGGCGGGATCGGTGCTTTGGTCGTTCGGTCTGCATATCGTTTCCACCGTCGGTATCGTGTTAGACGGAGATTGGAACAGAAGCGAGCAGTCTTAAAGGAGCGAATGAATACTTTCAAGGCCGTTTTAACCCAACTGCAGGACTCGACAGATTTCTCTGTGACCGAGCTTGACTTAAGTGAACTACGTCGACGTATATCGGCCGGCATTCTGAGTCCGATCGACTTGCTGCATGCTTTTCAGCGGAAAGCCATGCGTCTTTACGATGAAGGTAATTCCGGCATTTGTGAATTTATCCAGGAGGCCGAAGAGCTTTTCAACAAGACTGCCGCGAAAAACGATCCGGCACCGTCGTCATTTACCCGGCCACCGTTGTACGGCATTCCGATCAGCGTTAAGGAAACGTTTCGGGTGAAACACTATGATAGTACAGGTGGCCTGATCAAATGGTGCAACATGCCGAGCACGGAGGATTGTGTGTTGGTACAAGTGCTCCGAGATTCAGGAGCGATCCCGTTTATCCTAACTACAACATCTCAAGCCCTTCGTGGAATCGACGGTCTCAATCCCGTATTCGGTGACTGTTATAATCCCTACAACACATCACGGATCACCGGTGGCAGTTCTTGCGGTGAAGCTGTGGTCTTGGCACGACGATGCTCACCGATTGGAATTGGCACCGATATCGGTGGAAGTATTCGCATTCCGGCCGCGTTTTGTGGTCTGGCCAGCCTCAAGCCTACTACGAATCGGCTAAGTCCCCGTGGAATGTTAAATTCTGCATCAAACTCTGTACTTGGCCTTTTTGTTAGCGCCGGTCCAATGGGCCACAGGGTGGATGATTTGGCTGACATGATGCGGGCTCTGCTCATACCATCGATGTTTAGCTTGGATCCACAAGTCCCACCTATCTCTTTCAATGAGACCGCTTTTGGAGGATCGGACAAGAAGCAGTTACGAATAGGATTTTACGATACTCTATCTCATCCGCGCATTATTCAAACCGTCCCATCTGTTCGCGCGGCCGTCAAGGTGGCGGTCGAAACGTTGGTAAAGGATGGTCACCAGGTGGTGAATTTTACCCCACCCGATCCCGACAAGGCGTATCGCCTCTACATTCGGTGTCTTTTTGCCGATGGTGGTCGACAACTTCAAAGCCATCTCGCTGACGAACCTGTTGGCAAGCAGTTACGATTTCTTTCCCTTCTGATGTCCATACCGAACTGGCTAAAGTTTGTGAGCGATATTTTCGCTGGTATGACCAGTTTCGGACCTATCAGCAACGTTCGAACTTTGGGCGGACTTCAGCGGGTACAGGATGTGTTCCATTTGCTGTCCGCAGTGCGTGAATACAAGCTGCAATTCGAAAGAGCTTGGCATGAATTCGGTGAGCCGCTGGACGCTGTGATTTGCCCGGTCTCAGCCTACCCCGCTCCTCCATCCTCTGCCCCGTCACTGTTTATCACTCCGTCCATTATTTATACAGCACTTTACAATCTCGTGGACTATCCATGTGGCACTGTCCGCACCAGTGTGGTCGATCGTGTGGATGTCTTAGAAAGCGCCAAATTCGCTGTGGACTATCGTCAAAAAGGAAATTGGTACGACTCGCGTGTCGCAGTGCTTCAAAAAGACACAGAGGGCCTTCCGTTGGCTGTGCAGGTGGTAGGGAAGCCATTTTGTGAAGAACTCGTTCTCCGTGTGATGCGTATTATTGAAGCGGGTCTGGAACTCGACCACTAGCGGAAATGTGTTCCGATATCTGGTGCTGAACGACCATCCATCATCCACTAATAACAGATCTTCGTAACATAATTCTTCTGTCACCGCAGTTTTTATCATGTCCCCGCTGATTTATCTTTTTCTTCTTTTCTTTAATACACTTCATTACGACCTGTTTGATGCATTCGACTTCGGTCACATCGTGCCTATTGGGGTTCACTGTGGATAGCATACGTTACGCTTTGATTTGGCATCCAGTTTCCGAATCCACAAAGCAGTTACATGAATGTAATTTCCTAAACCTCAACTGTGAAGCTGGTAGTCTTGTCATAACGCTCGGAATCTTTAGGTGGCCCTGCATCACGTATGTCAGAGAGCAGAGATACTTTCTGACATGACTGAGTAGCAAGCGAGCATCTCGGTTCAGACAACAAGGAAAAGTGAATTCCCGATTCACAAGGCTTTACTCATCTGAGAGTCAAAGTATGTGAGCTGTAATGCGATAGATATCATGTATAGAAAACAATACAACTATAGCAAGTACAAAACGAACACTGTCCACCTAATTCAGCTCAACGATTTTCCTTGGGACTGGAACTTAGTATCTTCATTGTGAAAATCTAGTAAACGGCTCTCTTCTTGATGAAGTTGATGATAACATCGTGCATAAATTGGAAAACTGAAATTGGCTAGCGGTATAGATCGTTAAATTAATGTTGAGTGCCTTACTATTTTCTTCGATACGACCTGTTATGTTCGATTACGGGGTGCATAAGATACACAACCATTTCGTCGTGGCGTTTTGCCGAACCATTTTGTCGAACAAATTGATGTGATCGTCTGTGTGGAACACAGTGGTAGTCACCAGCGGTACGCAGAGCACTGATATATTGTATACCGCACTGCACAACACTGTCTCGATCGTTAGTCTTCTTGCTCCTCTCACTTTCGAATTAGGCTGCACGATAGGGCATCAGAAAAATACGGAGTTCAGTGACTTGTAGCTTGTGCACCTCGGGCTGATACCCACTTTTGGTTACACAACTGTTGCGATGACCCTTTTCAATGTTGTTATTTTGATCGGACTTCTTTAGTTATTTGGGATAACTTCTTGTTTCCATACATTCGAACTGGGCAGCCACTTCTTTGCAGAGGATCTGATCACTCTTTTTAAATAACTAGCAAGCAATGGAATCTTGTTTGACAACGCGGAAACAGTCGGGCGTTTAGTCTGTGGTTTACGCGTCACTGATCTAATTCTGCCTAGGTGCTAGCAACTTCGTTGTCTTAGTATACGGCTCAAAAGGCCAGTTGGGCTTCTCTACTTGAGTTATGTCTCTATTCTCCCCTGCTTCACTCGGCTCCTTATTTCTCCGAGTTTACCAGACTTTCTTTCCAGTTCATAAGCTCCGACCTAGCGCGCTCTCGATAGCCCGTCTGGCTGCATTGGGTTGGCTGTTGGCTGGAACTCTTCCTACCGACTCCAACGTGTTCGTTATTATCCGGTGTGCTGATGGTTGGTATGGCCGCATGCTATATCTACCTTAACATGTATAGCCAGAATCCTGTGCCTTAGGAGTTCTTTTTCCTCAGATCAACTGTTTGAATTCACCGTACCCAGAGAATCCCCAGTAGACCTATCCACTCTTGACCTGATACTCCCAATCAATAATCGAGGTAGCCGTTTAGTATGCAGCTTGTGTTTGTTTATGCGAAATGTCGACATTTCGCCAAATATGGATGGTATCGGATGCACATGTTCAAAGAAGGCTTGTGACCTGACTGTTATAGCAATATGATCAACCGGTCCCAAGCAGTGGACAGTTGCCGGGGGAAAGCACAAGTGGTACGGTAGCGTCCATTTTATCTGAGATCAGGTCAAGCTAGAAATTATTGGCGTTTCCGTAGCCTGAAGTGCATCCCATCAAGCCACCCAACTGAGCATCTGAAAGAGTTCCTTGACCACATTGCACACTTGTGTCATCAGCAAGTAAAGCTATACATGAGTTAGTGGCAGTACGTGGAAGCGCCTTGAGTTCGCAGCAAAACATTCTCTTATCAGCATTGGGACCGTCATTTGTTGGGGAACATTCAACGGTCATAAACAGCCGGAGTCTTCCGCCACTCCATGCGTTAACCATATTTTGCATAGCTGAACGGGTCTCATATAAATTACTGTTCGCTGGGATCTAGTCAGCTGCTTTTGGAGGTATGCGCGACGTCCATTCCAGCTAGATACATGAGTGCTGCATTATTCTTCCAGGATGCATGCAGTCTTTTGCGAGGCGATTGGTCAGATGTGTTTCGGGCAGTTAGCATGTATCAGGTATTATGGTGCGCAGTGTGCATTGATGTGGGGCTTTTTGTTTTGTCTACGTGAAGGTAAATATTTTCTAAGTTGTCCGAGCGTTCTAGTATTTCTGCTCTTGATAGTAGGCAGACTTTGAGCGCTATAGTTACCTGGGTCTAGTGAGCGTAGCTCCATCATTTCTTTAGTTATCTTCACTCTAGATTGAGACTACGAATGCGGAGATGGTATCTGAAGTCTAGGAGAGTGCAACAGAATGAGATAGAGAAGAAACAAAGACGACGCCACGGATAACCTGTTTTGCTTATCAGCCTGACTCCTTGCAGCAGATTAGACAGTCGTTTCGAGAATGCACGGCTTCAGACAGGCTGCAGCCAGTGCTTAACGAGAGACGATTGTACTTTGGCTTGGGTACATCCAAGGTTCCCAAACCCACACAGGGAATAGCTTAAGGTTCTCTTCCGAAGATTTTGATTGGAAGACCTGACCTAGGGCTTTTAAAATACGGCACCTATCTACATGTTAGCCAACTTACGGAAACGATTGCTGCCGCTCTCCTTCAACTTCCACGTGGAGTACCATTAGGCCGCGTTTTTCCGACTGTTACCTAGTCTGCTTGGATTAGCTCTGAAGGTGCCCAACAGCACAGCTTAGGATAGCCCATTGGATTCGGGTGTCTATCAGGCAGCCATATCGCGTTGCTGTTTACTTTTACCTGTGAACCGGTGGCTCCTTTTCAGTGATTTTTACTGATTTAGTTCTCAGCAGTACATTTCTTGGATCCGCCTTTCGAATGAGTTGAACAAACACTTGCTATTCCTACTTTAACTCATCTTCATCTCGTTAGTTTTTCCGCATGATCGTCTAACGAAATTCTCTGTTGTTCTTCTGATCAACTTAAATGAACCTTCGATAACGCAGTTAATGATCTGATCCATCAGTATAGTCGACAATGTGGCTCTTAAGGTACTACCAAATCGTATTGGAAGTGATTAGCATGTAGATCCGGACAATTCACTCCACTCGGTAGCCGCCGTTGACTTCACAACTGTGGCATCTGCGTTAATCAAATTCCCCTGCTGCCTGCTCTTAATGGAGTCAGTGCTAGTCCAATCACTGATTGAACTAAGTTCACGCTTCCTGTTACCTGGGCTTACCCGTGTCAGACGTGTTCGTTTAAAGCCAAACTAACCATTGTTCAAACTGTTTTAAATTGCGCGAAGCGTTTTATTTGATGCTAGTCACAATACATTTTGCGCACTGCTGAATCTGGCATGTTCTGCTATCCTGGGCGATACATATATATACATACATACATATATATATATATATATAATCTCTGGTATAGATGTTGTGCCATCGGAATCATGGGTGAATAGGAAAACACTATGAATAATAAGAAAAGAGCAACAACAGATGCTTTTTGTGTTGTTTACCACTCACTGTTTTTGAAATTTTTTCCAATTGACTGAGTGTTACTCTGGACTGGTTCAACTTGGGGGGATTTAACTACAATAATGCAACCTGGAACGTTAATTCGATCAATATCATTATTGCGGTTGCAGCATTTGAACTCAGCTTAGCCCGGCCAGTCACATCGCTCACATACCGTTGGCCTCTAGGACATTCCGGATTGTTATATGTGGCACCTTCTGTGTGCGACGCCCAAGTATGTCCCTCCACCCCTTCCGTTGACAGGTGCATTCATGCGAATCATGAGTACTAAGGCTGGTTAGAAAGATTTTCAAGGGAAGGTTGGACTAGGTAAATGAAATTGGGTTGAAAATAAGCAGCGTATTGAGGCCCGACATGAAGTTCTTGGGTTATATATGTTTATTTATTTATTTATGTGCCCCATGCCGAGGTTGATGTTGCATTCATGATGCTTCTTCACCGCAGTTGGGTTAAACCAATTTACACTTAAACTAGGTCTTTTTAATGTGGATAAAATTCGTTACATTTTATTAGGTTTGTTCTGCGTACTTGATAGTCTTCTCCCAACTTGCACACGTCGCTCATGCAAATTGTGCTAAAATTGCGTAATTGTATCGCGTCATATTTTTTAAATAACTCGGACATTTTGTACTTATCACGGATTCACTTATAACCAATTTCTTCTGTGCTCATTTAGCGAGTATTTGTCGTCATATGCGTTTACTTTATTCGATATCGGCATTTTGAGCGATTGGCTGTTGTTTGACATGCCAGGTGTGGCTGCGTTTGATGTGCATGTTGACAAGGTGCCTACCTGTCTATTACCCTTTACCTCGTCCATCTGGCTCCAGAAGACTGTTGGTCGTTGCTGGAGGGGACGGGGTGCACGGTCCTTGTGGTCGTGCTAGGCTCGAAGAGTGGTTCTATGCACTCAGTGTGGAGCGGACTACGGTCCAGCCACCGTCTTGGGTGCACTTTATTCCCAAAATACAGCGTGCTTTTGTTTCCTTGTGAAGGAGTGTGGGTCGGCTCCGTTGATGAAACGTGACTCCCATCCACATGCCTCCCGGTCTTATTCCTTCGGGTTTACACTGCATATGGGGTGGGTGGATGGTGCAGCGCAAGCCATCCATGGTCCATCTGTAGGCGCAGGCGTCCTGTGGCTGGCCACAGTGCAAGGCAAATCCGAAACCGGATGCCGCCAGATATATATATATATATATATATATATATATATATATATATATATATATATATATATATATATATATATATGTGCTAGACCCGTTGCCTTTCGGGTGTATAATTAATCGAAGGCTTTGGCTGAAGACCCGAGTCGTTCTCCTGTCAGGTGTGGGCGCCCTGGCAGTATCCTAGTCCATCCTCTTCGGAGGTTAGGAAGTGGTCGATGGCCCACTTCTCGTAAAACCTAGCCATGGGAGACAACAGGTTTACGGGTTATAAGCTCACAGCTGGATTGGTGTAGAGCACGAGTGCCACGCATTGTCTCTGACGGTGGGAGGGCACCTCCGCGTTTTCGATGGTTTGCTACTGCCCGCCTCAAGCCAGGCAGCCCCTGGTCAAATTGGTGCAAACCCGCCAAAAACCCACCTGCGTCTGGCCGTGGTCGCAGGTTCGTATCCTACTACGGTTGCAAAACAAATGATAACTGTTCCAGAACCTCAAAGGCTGCGTGTGACGGCCGTCAAGCAGATCCCCATCTGTCTCTGCAATCACATTCCCGAGCTGGATCTACTCCCCACTGTTTTGTGGGTCAGGCTATTGAGCCAAAGGCTCCGGACGGAGTCCCTCAAGCAAACCTCCAAACCACCCACTGCGTTGTGGGTCAGGCTATTGAGCCAAAGGCTCCAGGCGGAGTCCCTCAAGCAAACCTCCAAATCACCCACTGCCTTGTGGGTCAGGCCAAAGGCTCCGGGTGGAGTTCCTCAAGCAAACCTCCGAAACACAACGACCGCCTCGCGTGCGATTTCCCACCAATGCAATCGTATGCCTGCGCGCAAAGCACTCAGCATCGGGTGCTGGAACGTGCGCACACTACTGGACCGGAACTCCAGCGAGCGCCCGGAGCGACGCACTGCACTGGTCGCAATGGAGCTGGCGCGCTACAACATCGATATTGCGGCGCTCAGTGAAACTCGGCTCGCTGAGCAAGGTAAGTTGCATGAAGCAGGTGCTGGCTACACATTCTACTGGGTGGGCAACGAAGCATCAGCACGACGTGAACATGGGGTCGGATTTGCAATATCCGATCGCCTCCATGGTCAGCTGGTGGGTGAACCAATGGGCATCAGTGCGCGACTGATGACTGTTCGCCTACGACTCGGAAGCGGTAAGTTTGCTACTTTTATAAGCACGTACGGTCCGACCATGTGTTATCCTGATGACACGCGTGATCAGTTCTACACTGAGCTATCCTCCGTGATACGGTCTGTGCCGAGGAGCGACCGACTATTTCTGCTGGGTAATTTCAACGCGCGCGTTGGGCGTGATGCATCAGTGTAGACAGATGTTATCGGTGCGCATGGCATTGGCTCAGCGAATGCGAACGGTGACAGGCTGCTCTCACTGTGTGCCACTCACGGCCTGACGATCACGAACACTCGGTTTGCACTGAGTACGAGTGAGATAGCAACTTGGACGCACCCACGGAGTGGTCACGCTCACTTGCTCGACTATGTCATCGTACGTCAGCGTGATATGCGTGAAGTGCGCATGATACGTGTACTGCGTGGAGCTGAGTGTGGCACTGATCACAAGTTGGTGCGGACCAAACTGTACATATATTTTCGTAAATCGATGTATTGCACTCCCGCCGTGAATCGGCGTAAATTTAACATTCTCTCCCTCGGTACAGTGGCGAAACGTACTGAGCTGGAGAAGGCGATGGCTGCACACCTGTGTGATGATGTGGACTGCATAGTCACATTGGGCGACCTGTGGCACCACATTCGCGACCAGGTGACGGCTGCTGCAGAGGAGACCATCGGGCGCGCAAACTGTAAGCGGCCTGATTGGTTTGATGACAACAATGCGACGATCGGCGCATTGGTGTCGGAGAAGAATGCAGCATTTGACTCACATGTTTCTGACCCCAGTGACTTGGGGCAGAGTAGTCAGTTTCGCAAACTTCGACGGCGACTGACCCGAGAGCTCCGTCGCATTAAAAATGCATGGTGGACGGGGAAGGCGAAGCAGATGGAATGCTACGCCGAACGCCGTCAACATGAGGAATTCTTTGACTCCTTGAAGGCGGTGTATGGACCGAGATTGGAGCTGCTGAGGACACTGATCGATGGTAGTTCAGGTGCTACCTGCACCCAGACTGCAGACATAATGCAGGTCTGGCGGAAACACTTTGACTGTCTCTTGAAATCCGTTCAGAGATCGACTGGCCTACCTTGAATGGCCTGATGCAGCACGATGTGAAGGCGGATCTGGCGGATACGCCGACACTGGATGAGACGCAGAGAGCACTTGCTCAGCTGCGAAACGGCAATTGTGCAGGGGCCGACGGGATCCCGCCTGAAGTATTGAAACACGGTGGACCCGCGTTGTTGACTGCGCTGCACCACTTGGTGCAACGCGTGTGGATTGAGGAGGAGGTGCCTCCTGAGCTGAAGGATGCCCTTGTGCTACCACTGTACAAGGGCAAAGGTAGCAAGCAATGTTGCACGAATTGTCGTGGCATCAACTTGCTGAGTTGTGTGGGCAAGGTGATTGCCCGAATCCTGCTCAACCGCCTCGTGAGTCAGGTTGTGGAACCTAACGTGGCGGAGGAGCAGTGTGGATTCCGTTCTGGTCGCAGCACTATAGATATGGTGTTTGCGGCTCGTCAGTTGCAAGAGAAGTGCAGAGAACGACACCAGCCATTGTACTCACTTTTTGTTGATTTCACCAAGGCGTTTGATACGGTGAACCGTGAGGCATTGTGGCTGGTGTTGGATAAGTTTGGTTGCCCGCGTAAGTTTGTAAGTTTAATTGAATGTCTGCACAGTGGTATGCGAGCGAGGGTGCAGCTGAGTGGAGAGACCTCGGATGACTTTGCAGTTGTCTCTGGTGTGAAGCAAGGCTGTGTCTTAGCTCCTGCCCTGTTTAATATCTATCTTCATGCAATGTTGTCTTGTGCTTTTGATGCGGCTTGTGCTTACGGTGTTCGTGTGGAGCACCGTATTGATGGTGGGTTGCTGAACATCCGTCGTTTCGGTGCGAGAACTCTAGTCTGTGAGACAACTATTTGTATGTTGCTGTTTGCTGATGACTGTGCGTTGTTTTCACACAGCGCGGATGAGTTGCAGCACATGACTAGTGCTCTGGCTTCGACAGCGGTCAAATTCGGGCTCACCATCAACACAAGCAAAACTGTCTGTCTGTTTCAGCCTTCACCGGAGGTGCAATCTTCAATATTGCCGCGAATCAGCATTGATGCTGAAGTATTGGAAACCACCTCCCGCTTTTGCTACCTTGGGAGTGTGATGTCGACTGACCAGCAGCTACACGTTGAGTTACGTAATCGCGTGTCGAAGGCAGCGGCGGCATTCGGGAAGCTTGAGTACCGAGTGTGGAACAACCATCAGCTTACCGTGGGCACGAAGCTGATGGTGTACAAATCCATGGTGCTGTCCGTTCTTCTATACGGCAGTGAAACGTGGACGATCTACCGTCGGGATATGCGATATCTCGAGCGGTTCCATCAGCAGTGTCTGCGACGAATTTTGCGGATCGGTTGGGGCGCTAGAGTTGCAGACACGGAAGTGTTGCGCCGAAGTGGGATGTATGCAGTGCACTGCATACTTTTACTGCGACACCTGAGATGGCTCGATCATGTGTGGCGCATGGATTCGACTCGGATACCAAAATAACTCTTATACGGTCAGCTGAGTATTGGGAAGCTGCACGTGGGAAAACCAAATTTACGTTACCACGACATGATCAAAGTGAGCCTCACACGTTCTAATCTTGATTGCAGGTCATGGGAATCGAAAGCGGTTGATCGGCGCGTATGGCGCGATCTCATCACGAAGGCAGTTGCTGAAGTACGGGAGAAAGACCTCATGCATGCAGAGAAGAAGCGGAAATTGCGGAAGCGGCAAGCACCGATGCATTGTAGTTCATCGACATCGAGTGCATGGTGCTGTAGCACATGCGGTCGCGAGTGCCTGAGTCAGGCAGGCCTAGTAAGTCATGAGCGAGGCCACTCGGGACTACTACCGAAGCGCCGACGGGTTCTGCAGAGAACGTAGGCAGAACCGGCGCAGCGTTTGTAGGGACGCTGCATTCGATTTACTAACCGCGTGCTTGCATGCTAAGTCTCTTTATTTCAGGTGGTGGGTTTTCAATTTTGCCTAAATGCTTTTCTTTCCCATATAAATGCCTAGTTATACTCTATTCTATACACTTGCACACGTCGCTTAAGCCACTTGTAGTTATTTCGATAACATTTTCGTGTTTGTAGCATTTCCGTAAAATAAACCTCCTGACCTCGTGAACTTACTTCGTATTCTTTTGTAAACGTATTCTTTTGTAAACAACTTATTTATGTCACCGTTTGCTTGCGTGCTAAGTCTGTTTATTTCAGGTGGTGGGTTTTCAATTTTGTCCCAATGCTTTGCTTTCTCGTATAAATGTCTACCCGTACTTTCTTCTATAAACGTGCACACGTCACTTAAGCCAATTCTAGTCCTTTCCGAAAACATTTTTATGTTCGTGGCATTTCCGTAAAGTTTGCCTTCTGACCTCGTGAACTTATCTCGCATTCTTCTGTAAACAACTTACTTCAGATGCTCATTACTTTGAGATATATATCACCCTTTTCTAGTGAGCCATGTGCGAGGCCACTCGGGACCACTACAGAAGCGACGACGGGTCCTGCAGAGAAGGTAGACAGCACCGGCGCAGCGTTTGTAGGCACGCTGCATTCGATTTACTAACCGCGTGCTTACATGCTAAGTCTCTTTATTTCAGGTGGTGGGTTTTCAATTTTGCCTAAATGCTTTTCTTTCTCATATAAATGTCTACCTGTACTCTATTCCATTAACTTGCACACTTCGCTTAAGCCAACTGTAGTCGATTTCCATAGCATTTTGTGTTCGAGGTATTCCGTAAAGTATACTTTCTGACCTCGTGAACTTATCTAGGATTCGTTTGTAAACAACTTATTACATATGCTCATTAACTTAAGGTTTGTGTCACCGTTTCCTTATGCATTAATCGAGTTATTTTCTTTGTCTCTCTCTCTCTCTCTCTCTAATCATTGGCTGTTGTTTGATATCCCCGGTGTGGCTGCGCTTGATGTGCATGTTGACAAGGTGCCTACCTGTCTATTACCCACTACCTCGTCCATACTGGCTCCAGGAGACAGTTGGTCGTTGCTGGAGGGGACGGGGTGCACGGTCCTTGTGGCCGTGTTAGGCTCGAAGAGTGGTTCCATGCACTCAGTATGGAGCGGACTACGGTCCAGCCACCGCCTTGTGTGCGCTTGATTTCCCAAATACAGCGTGCTTGTGTTTGCCTGTGAAAGAGTGTGGACCGGCTCCGTTGATGAAACGTGGCTCCCATCCGCATGCCTGTCGGTTTTATTGCTTCGGGTTTACACTGGATATGGGGTGTGGGGTTGGAGCTGTGGGTGGTGCAGCGCAAGCCACCCATGGTCCCTCTGTAGGCGCAGGCGTCCTGTGGCTTGCCACAGTGACAGGCAAATCCGGAACCGGATGCCGCCAACCATATATATAATAAACCATCTGTCGTACAGATATTGTGCCATCGGAATCATGGCTGAATAGGAAAACAATATGAATAATAAGAAATGAACAACAACAACAAAAGCTTTTTTGACTAGTTTGCCACTCACAGTTTTTGCAGTTTTTTCAGTTTGTTCTTTTTTAGAGGAGGAGGAAGGGACACCGACGCACACGTCCGCCATTGGCGCCGGTCTTTAGCCATGATTTCCAAGGTCTTCAACCAGCAAGTATCCGCATCCCTCGGATCCCAACCAGGTAGTTGACAACAATCGGCCGAGGTCAGCTGTTTCGTCAGCTTTTTCATGCGGCTTCTTGTTGTTGGCTGTCCACCACACCGTCTCTTCCAGCCCTGTCCAGCAAGTGCAAACAACGCACGACGCGGGTAACGCTGGACAGGCATGCGCAATACGTGTCCCAACCACCGCAGTTGATGCAGTGAGACGAACTCCTCGAGCGAGTGGCTTCCACGTCCCAAAACACGCTGTCTAACTTCCAAATTGCTTACGTGGTGCTGCCACCACACACTGGCAATGGACCGCAGACAGCGATGCTCGAAGACGGATAGCCTGCGCCAGTAACCTTTACGAAGGGGTTGGTTTCTTATTCGTACAACTGGATGACACGACCAGTTGCACAATAAACCCGCCCTTTGATGGAGAGACGAATGTCGTGGCAACGCCACAAGTGCCTCAGCCTAGAAAAAGCGAGGCGTGCTCTCGAGATGCGCATCGAAATCTCGTCTCCAACAGCCCCGCCAGCAGTGATGCAACTTCCCAAGTAGACAAGGCTCTCCACAACCTCTAGTGTCTTACCACCAAGAGTTAATGCAGGCAGAGGCACCTGGCAGTCTTGGAAGAGAGCCTTGCATTTGGATGGTGAAAAGTACATACCATACTTCAATCCCCAAACGGTTGAGTGCAAGTTGGACGGCGTGTGGATCGTCGCCCAGCAAGACTATATCGTCAGCATAATCCAAATCAAAAACTCGACTATCTGAGAGGAGTTCAACGCCAGCGTTCAAGAAGTCGCCCAGAGCCTTCTTAATGACATCCTCGATTGCAATTGTTTAGGAACGGAGAGATAGGGCATCCTTGTCGAACTCCACTGGAAACCACAAAGGTAGGCGAAAGCTTGCCATAAGCCCTAACCCTGCCCGAGGTCAGACTATATAGAGCGCGCAGTATGGAGACGAACTTCTCGGGGACACCATTCCTCAGTACGCAGTACCACAGTACCGTACGATCGACAGAATTGTGAGATCACATCCCATATGAAGTTTTATTTCGTCGCACTTGTGAGATCGCATTCCACATGAACTTTTATTCCGTTGCACTATCTTCGGAACGGAAGGTTTTATCATCATGTGCACGTGTAATTAAATCCGAGGTCAACATAACAAAACTACTACAGTCTTATCGAGATTGCCTTGGATACCACATCCTCACATCGTGTAATTAAGTCTCGCTTGACCTACATCACAAACGAGGTCAACATAGCAAAACTGTTTCAGTCTTATCGAGATTGTCTTGGATACCACATTCTCACATTGTGTAATTAAATTCCTCTTGACCTACATTCACACATCGTACCACTTACGGCCCACATGTTTGAACGCCCGAACGAAGCATTATATAAACAGTATAGTACATCGACAACAACAACTCCCGACCGACTACAGTGTTACTCCCGTACAACGAACGCCACACGACCGTTCCGACTAGTGCTTCGACAACCGTCACGAAAAGCGCTACGCCCACGACGACAAGACAATCGTCACACGACCGGACTGGCCGCGACCTGTAATTCCCCACGAACAGGATTTGTGCTCTGAGATAAGTCACCACTTTCTCATTACTTTATTTTTGAGTGACACTATTAAATTCTGTTTCGTACATTGTATTCTTAGGGCCGGCCTCTCCTTTTTATATCTTTACTGTACTGATACACAACGAACACGCCTCAATACTTATACTTCATTTTTGTTAGTGCACACCTGATATTTTCAATCCGCCAACTAGTCGAGTAGTAACCTACTAAGCCATTAACAGTTGGTGTCCCCGACGTAAGCAAGTAGGCAGACACCAACTACAGTAAACTATCGTGTGTTAAGAAATTTCTCTCAGGGATCGCAGGACATTGAAAACCGGGAGTTTGGCTGTTACTTCCATCAGTTGCGAGACCTGGGTTGTTTGTGACGGTGACCGTAGAAGATAAAAGAGTACATATAGGTGAAGGACGGGAGGTGGGGTGATCTGTGAGTTGAAGTTGAGCAGTTGAAATAGCATAGAAGATAGGCAAAGCAGAAGCAGCAGTAAGCAGTGTGGTCCATGATTCGTTGGTGGGCGTGGTACTGCCCGGTTGCCGAAGCCGAAGTAGAGGGTTGTCTTAGGGGGCCCTACCCCGAGCCTTTGATCAAAGATCTAACCTACAAGGAAGCAGGGCGATGTGAGGGCGTCGCAACCCGTTGGGAGCCGGTGACCAAATAGATGGTTCATACGCCTTTCGGTCCGTGAAGGACCAGAGGACCAATGCACCCTTGAAGTACAATGACTCTCAGGGAGTGGCAAGGGGCAGCGACTTTATTTAGTGGCGAGTCGCATCCGCAACGTCGCAGTGTTGCTAAACGGATTTTTGTGGCTTTTATCGGGAGAACGCTTGCCAGGCGAAAACCCACCACCTCCTAGAACACTGCTGCCGAACCGTTTGCTGGAACAAGAGAAACACGAACCACCCAGCTGGTACCACGAGGAGGTTGTTCGGCTACGAGCCGAATCCCGCGTTCTGCTGAAAGCTGTAACTAAATAGTTTATCTCTCGACGATGAGAGAGGTTGCTCCGTATAAGGAAACAGCTCGAGAATCGTTACCTGTTTTTCATGCTATTACATTGACAATTTTTCAAAAATAAATGTGGATATGAATCTCAGATTTAGGTGATACAAGGTGATCAATATTGTGCTGCTATTTTTCCCATCTGTGGTTGAACCAGCGTTCTTCCCCATCACATGTTCGGGCCGATAAAAACGGAATGAAAGGGGCTGTGATCCGGAAAGCTGTGTTGTTCGTAGTGTAGGCATGCCCCATCAATGCCGTTTTCGAGAGCGTTATCCAAGGATTGTGATTTCCTGAACATAATGATCGCGCTTTGGACGCTTAACTGCCTAGTAATTGCAGGCTTACAATTGCGCATTATACGTCATATTCTGATGTCTCTTGAAAGTTAGTTCCAACTTTTTGAATAGTGGACTAGAAAGACCGTTCTCCTAGCAAATTTTGGAGTCGTAATCTTTATCTCTGCTGCGGATCGCGTATCTACTGTTTAAAGGCATGTGGGTGCCGTCATAAAAAATAGAAACAAAATGCAACTGAGGCACGCCGACTGAGTCAACAGTAACGGATGGACATCTTTCCGGGGATCTAACAGCTGGCTGTTGTGCCACAAAAGTTACATAATGCCTAGGAAATGATATTGTGGTTGGTGGGAGAAACCAAGCGGGAGAGGGAGGGACGAAGAAACTCACAACGCAAACACCACTGAGGTCGGATCCTAGCCATGTTAACAGGTATATCCAGCCATACGTGTTCATCCTCTTTCGGACACTAACCAGGGAGCCGAGAGGCTCCAACCGAGGCCAACTTCGATGTGAAAGTCCCGGTAGAGTCTGAAGATAGCGAATTATTCGGGCTCATTTCGATCAAAAAGTTAGAGAAAAGCTGATACAAGACAACCCTGACGAACCTCACCTGTCATGAGAAATTTAGGAGACAGTTTTCCGTAGACCTCTACACAGTCTCGAAGTTCACTTTAAAGGACTTCAGAATGGAAAGGAGTTCAGCTGACATGCCCTTCATAAATAGGCTGTGGCATAAGCTAGTACGGGCAACAGAGTCGAAGGCAGTTTTCAAGTCAAGGGAAACCACCATAGTCGGTCGGTTGCATTTGCTCTAATACTTGGCAAAAAGTAACTGTGTGATCCATGCAACCGCGACCAGATCGGAAGCCAACCTGACTTACAGGGATTCGGTTCTCACTGGGACCTGTAAGTTGTCGAAGAATAATGCCAGTGCAAAATTTGAAGGCGGTGGAAATGAGACTAATACTTAGGTGCTTTTCACACGTAGCCCCGCGGACCATTTTTATTACGAGCACTACAATTGATAGTCCTTAGTTTGAAGCCACTTCTTTATGGTCTCGCATTGTAGTAAATAAAGAGGCAAGTCTATTCACAACGAGTCTTCCCCATCTTTCAGCACAGCTGGAGGAAGGTATTCGGATCCGGAATCCTTGTTCCGTTTTAACATGGAAAGGTCATATCGAATTTTTTCCAAAGTGGGATGTATAACATCAATTTCCCACATCGGCTCATTTGTTTTCGCAAGAAGCAGTGTCGCAGCAAGCCTACTGAACCCCTCTTCAAAATGTTCCGCCAAACGGGCTAGTCGGTGGACGTTGTGAATGGATCAGCTGCCTGTCTTTCTCAGCTATTGACCCGCTAACGGATGGCTTTCTCGGTCCCGTGTTCCGGATGAACGGGTATAGCGCTCGACTGTTCTCCTTAGCAGTGGTTTTCTCCATTCCACTGTCTTTGCCATTCACCAACGTTCCCGGTCTATTCGAAAACTCCTTGCGATGCTTCCTTTCAGTGAATTACGGACACGCTGGAACTCACTGTCTACTGGAGCTTGTTTCCGTGCTTCGATCAAGCTAATCGACGCCTCAGCGATCCGGTTGCGGGCA